TTTTTGAACTTAGGGATTAAACTTGATATTTTCGAAAACCACAGGGACCATTTTTGAAGTTTTGTCTTATTATTATTATTGAAATGTTAATAAAATGTAAAAAAAATGTAAAAGTAAATAAATAAGGGTATAACCGTCTTCTCAAGTTTTTTGGACTAAAAACTCAAAAAAACCTTGATTTTGGACCTTCTTTGCAAGCTGGAAACTTTTTGGACCCCATCCAAAGATTTTTACAAACCACAATGACCAAATTTGCAGATTTGTCAACTATTTAACTAACCTATAATTAACTGATTATCTTGTACATTAACATTGCTCCAATCAATGACATAGTTGTAAAATTATTTAACTAATCGTATAATTAATTGATTATCTTATATATCAACGTTGCTTTAATCATGAAAACTCACATCGAAATATGGATAGTATTAGACAATATTCTAAATAACGTTAGGCATGACTTGGCGACAAGGTCAAGCTTCAAGCTTTTACGAGCCGTGACGAGTTATGTCGTTTTTAAGGCGTGAGTTAAAGCGACAATTTTATGTGTGTGTGTGTGTCTATATATATATATATATATATATATATATATATATATATATATATATTCTAGTATAATTCGTTTTTATTTATATATATGACTAAAGACGACATTTTATTAAAGCATTACGACAGGTACAAACCTTGGAACCATGACGTGCTATGTCGAGCTTTTTAGAACCTTGTCTTAAATAGTTAGATATGTTAGCTTTTACTCATTTATATAAAACATATCACTTTTGTTATATTTTACTTTTTACAAAACAAATTAAAAAAAAAAAGATTGGTTGAAGATTAAGCCGTTCGAAAATGACTTGAATGTCTTTTTCTTAGAAGAGGAAGGTTGAACTAGGAAGCCTACCTTTTGCAATTGCAAGTATGTTCGATTCGGGCTCCACTTTCCTAAACCAAATGTTGTTGTGGGTGGTTGTGAAGGAAGTGTGGATAAGGGGCACTTGTAGCTTGTTCATAGGGTAAGTGCATGCAGTAGTTCTATTTCCCCTTGAATTTGTTTACCAAATAAAACATCACATTATATGGTTGGTGAGCCCTTTTCTTTTCTTTCTATTAACCTACAAATAACGATATATTAGCAACGACTTGTAAACTTATAAATATATTAGTTTAATACTTGGTTATTATTACAAAGTTATAGATATCATCAAATTTATTGAGATGATAAAACGAAGTAACAAATGTGATTTATACGAGTAAGAGTTTGTCTATATTTTGATTTTTTTTAAATGATGTATAAAATATAGTTTATATAATATGGGTCAAGTTTTTTGGTAACCTTAGATTCGTAATAATTTGAGATTGTTTTTCCGGCCATTTTTTTTAAAAACTCCATCAAAATCATTGTTACATTTTTGTCTAAACCAATCCCACATCAATGTATTCGAATCTACCATAATAAATGAAAATGTTTTTTTATTTATTTATTTACAAATGTCATGTTTTCCTTTAGTTTGACACATGTCATTTTGTAAGATTTTTTCTTTTTCCACTTGGCATTTTCTTATGCTTTCAATTTTATTAAATTTAAAAGTAAATTCCAGATTTTATGCTGATTTACTTATGTTATGTAGAATCATTAAATTAAATTTCAGTAACCATACAAAAAAAACCGTTGTACAACCACAAATTAGACAATAATCAATTCTTCCATAATTTAATATCGACACATATCACAGTTTTCACTTATACAGTAACTTTTTCAAAACAAAAATGTTATGGAATACAATTATAAACAAAGAAAATAGCTTTCATAAGCTTTTATTTATTACTATATATATTGAAAAACTTGCTTTATTCATTATATCTGTAATACTTATGTAAAAAATTACTTAAAAAAAATATTTGATGCTTATAACTTTATATTCAACATTTTTTAATTAAATCTGTATAATACACGGGTCTCACACCTAGTTACATCTTATATTTACAAATGTGCAATATGCATATATGTGTAGATATGCACATCGTATTGTTCGAATGTTTTGTGATTTTTTGTTCAATTGACTTATGAATAGCTTAGACGACGCATATCAATGATTTTAATGTTGTTTTTAGTGAAAAATATTGAACATAAAAAAAAGTTTTATTATAGTTATCACTATTCTCTATTGGGTTAATGACTTAGGAGGGTAGTTAGGTTTCCAGTTTGTCTGTATTAGGTCACTAAGGTTTTTTTTTGTGCGTATTAGACCAATATGGTTGTTATTACCATTTAGAAATAGTAATTTTTACCGGTTTCTTCATGTTTAACCGGTTACAAAGTGAGTACATGTTATATACGGGTGTTACGTGGTTATTAGGCCGTTATGTGGATTATTAGGTGGCATTTAATGTATATTTCGTCTCCTTAAATTAGGGCAAGACGAATCCCCAATCACTTTCTCTTCACTCTCACTCAATCGTCCCCATCCACTGTTCTTACTTCGATCAATCCACGATCAGATGGATGAAGATGATACACCGGTCGTTGAAGTACAGTACAACGGGATGTTCATCAACAAACCATTTATCTATTTTGATCCAGATAAAAAGGAGATAATGTACGCCGATTCCAGGGAGAAGGGGTATGTTGAATTCATTGCTCACCTCAACGTGATTACTAGAAGAATGTGCAAATATGTATACTATTGTCCAGATGGTCAAACATTGTGTCAAGGATTGGCCACATTGCAGAACGAATGTGATTACCATGAATTTCTTGAGTCTCTTCTTGAGAAAAAGAAAGTAACTGTGTATGTGTACCATATGCATGAACCCCTTTTTGAGTGGATTGAAATGGAAGAGCCTGAAGTTGAAGATGATACCAACTCCAACGCAGATGAAGGTGTTGATTCAATGTTAATAGATAAAGAGTGTTAGGAACACGAGGTGGATGATGAGGATTTTTCAATGAAAAGGGCAACAACAACTATTCAGAAGAAAGACAAGTTTTTGAACAAACTTTGCCCAAATGTTGAAGAGGAAGAAGATTCTAATGTTGAGCAACTACCACCTGTATACCCTGTGCACAATTATGAGCAACAATGGGATGAAATGGCTCCTGTGTTAGGTATGAAATTCACCAATCCTACTGAACTTAAACAATGTCTTACCAACTATGTTGTTAAGCATGGT